GGAAAGTGAACGCGAGTGAATGGTGAATGATGAATAAGGGTGTGTGTGCGCGCATATGTCTGCATGTATGTTTTATTGTATGTGTATGCCGTAACATAGAATGAAATGCTATAGCAATACTGTTATCATTATGAATTACACTAATAACGATATTATGAGTATTTACCTTGCGTGTGTGCTGGGTTCGCCTGTGATCTCTACTAACGCCTTGTACTGTGTTCACTACTCGCCTGTGTTAGCCCACGCATAAACGTTGAGGGTATGTAAGAGTATTTCCGTGGAACGTGATCGGCCGTTTTTATACCTCGTGAACTGTGAATTGCAATTTATTTTGTCTGTGAACTGTGAATGGACCACCTTGTGTGAAGCGTGATTTAGCTTTTATTTAGTCTGTGTATTGTGAATAAGAGGTCTCTTTCCTCGTGAATGTATGCATGTCAGGCGCGGATTTAGGCCGGTTTGCACCGGCTTCCAGAAACCGGTGACAGGCCTCAAAATTCACCAGAATGCACCAAATATAGTCTAACTTTAAAAAAATTCACGGGGGCATGCCCCGGACCCCCCCACGCTCCAGATACAAAGAACATATGGAAACTATATATATATATGTATATATATACACACGCACGCACGCACGCACACACACATGTATAAGCATGACTACTGCCCAAGCATATTTTGATTTTCACAAGTGTTGTTAGTCAAGAAATAGACTTGTATACTTCTAGGACCTTATCTTATGTGTCTGAAATTTTAGCTGTAAACTGGATTATCCCCGTGATCTGTGAAAAGAGCATTATTTTCACTGTGAAATGTGAAAAGCAGTTTATTTTCACTGTGAATAGTACCCCCCCTCTTCGTTACCGATGACTTTTTGTCGTTAATAATTGTCCGTAAGGGCCTAGAGATGGCAGCAGGTACCGATCGCAATGGCGACCTGGCGAAGGAAAGGGTGAAATGTTGTTGTCGTTGAAATGTTGTTTTACTAACGTTGTGATGGGAAATATAGGCTAGTGACATAGCTTATCGTGTTCGCCACCTTGGAAACCCCACCTCCCGGTAAGAGGTAAATGCGGACATTCGTCATGGCGGTTTTGGGGGAGATACGTGAAATAACGCACGGCCGTTACAGTAATACTATATAGATGTATACAGTAGGGCCTATCTTAGTATCTATAATAATATAATAGTAGAAAGAGCGTAGGTCTCATTTTCCGTATGACCTCCGAAACCGTGCCACGCATTCTCACGCGAATCGAGCTGGCCCCCTTCTGGACGTCCCAAATGAATTGCGCTACGTTAAAACACGATGTTTCGATCATAATTCGAATAACGATCCATAACTTGGAGGAAATTTTCTAAATTTTAAGGCAGTGGCTACGGGTACGGTAGCCGTATCTTAATGTCTCGAGGCTACGGGTACGGGAGCCCATTCGCTTTCATACTTAACGAGACAAAGATGGCGGTGGTGGCGCTAGATATCGAAATAACGCCTTTGGAAAATAAATTCACGATTTGAGAGCTTAGATGAGCTAGAACCCTAACCCTAACCCTAAACCTAAACCGATGGGTAATATGGTATATATATATATACAAATATATGCCTCCATTACACTGACAAGCAGGAAATATTGTTGGAACTACTTATCCATATTGCAATGCTTTTGCATCAAAATATGCATTTGCATGAAAGGTGGCATAATTTCATTCCTTCGGACCTTTGTCTTTGTGACATCTCGGATCATCTTCAAATTTGGCATGAAGGTGCGTTAAGGTAAAGCGAAGACGCCAGTCGTTTTTGGTGTGGGTGGAGTGATCGTTGCCATGGTAACAACATTTTTGTGGAAATATTGTAGAACCTGTAAGTTGTGCTGTTTTTAGCCGATTGTCATGGAATTTGGCACACAGGGCCGATATAACATGTCCTGATGACAATCATAAATTTAAATACAAATTTTAATACAAATATTAAATTAAAATAGAGGCGACGCAGTATTATATATATATAATATGATTAGTAGTGTGCCTAGTGTTACTGTGACATGTGTGTACTCTCATACATACTCACACACACGTATAGACAACAGCATTACGTGACACAGGGAAGTTAAAGTGATACTGACCTGAGTGGCAGGATGGTGTCCATCACACGCACATAGCAGTGGTGAGGGCCCGGCACGCAGGGACCATGTACGTACAGCACATTGTACTTTGTGTTTATGCGCCATATCTGAAATTAATCGAGTGCAGACACTCTTATGTTCAGCCGATCTGTCTCGCTTCCTGCCACCGTCAATGAACGACACACATGAGCTCCTGACGATCTATTTACCAAAATCCACAAGCTGCCGTGGTTATGGCATCAACAACATATAACGTCAATTCTCCCAGTTCTGTTCTTCTGATGACAAATACACATGAAATCACTCATATATACTTAGTACTCATAGTTAGGACTGTCATCGATGCCCAACTCATCGATAAATCGCGATGGATTTGCGTCCGATATCGATATCGAAATAAATCGAAAAATAGCGATCGGATTTTTTTATTTATTTTTTTGCTAAAATGTAGCCAGCGAAGCATCGGTAGCATTTTTGACTGAGCGCCGCCATTATCGGAAGTAGTCCAGGGCGCATGCATACAGAGACAATCAATAACTGTGGTGTTCTATTGTCTCTGGTGCGTATCCTGTCTCACTGATCTCTATAATAAAATCTGTCTACCGTAAAAGCATGTCTGCTGCTTCGCCATCGCCGCGACGCCAGGTCAATCTGGTTGAATTCAGATAAATATACTTCGCCCACGTTGCATTTAAGCACAGCGATGTATAAAATGCATAGTTATCATAAGTAGAACACAATACATGAGTTTACTGTACTTTCACGGCTCATGTTTTATTACATAATTATTAAATCGAATCGGATCGAATCGGATCGAAATATCGAAAAAAAATATATCAATAATCGAATCGAAATAATTTGATACCAATGACAGGCTGACAGCCCTACTCATAGTACACACGCGATATTATAATCAGATAATTAGGATTCCTGACAGTACCTAGATGATTAGATTAAGACTAATCGTGCCTGTTGCAGTAGCAGCTGTCCCCGCCATGCGTTCATCACCTTACCTTCAGTCCCTTCAGAATTCTCCACTCGTTTCCCATGTGTCCTGGCATTTTCTTGCCAGGCCAGATTCTTGCCATGTTCTAAGAATGCATAATCACAGGATCAATGCTATAAATTTGTGCAAGAACTCTTCGTTACTATATCATTATGCATGCTTATCAGAACTGTCATCTTGACTGAGAACAAACAAATATTAAGCACGTGGGGTGGCATGCCTGTGTCCTATAGTAAGAATATGGTAACTTACCCCTCCTCCTCCTGTTGCACCCATTTTTCTGTGAAATTTGGTTGCACCATGGGAGGCAGGCCCTCCCTTCATACCCCACTTTTTCACAACTCCCTGATAACCGTGGTCAATTCTGCAACAGAAAAGTACAAATTTAATAACCTATTGGATAACGTACAACATAACTGACATCGAATGCATGCTGCAACTGTGAGAAGCATAGTGTATTAGCTCCACGATACAACTGTGTTCACAACTCTATCTATCTGTCTATTATCTCTCTATCTGTCTGTACTCCTGCGTCGACTATTGGTCTTACGTTCTGGCCTGGCAGTCAACGAAGTCTCCAACACTGAAGTGCATGGCGTTCAGCTGTGTTCCTGAAACACGCAACACATTCGCTAGATTGATATAAATGTATATAGATGACTTGCCTAATTTGTATGTGATTTTTAACGCATTTATGCCAAAATATCGACTTTCCTCCACTTTGCTGCCAACGACTGTTTTTGTAATGTACTACTGCATAATGAGATTACCTGGCTGTATTACTGCATCCCTCGTCACAAAGAAGCGAGACAGGTGATGTTTCGGCATCACACCTGCCTCTTGGAAAAGTCCCAGGTACTCAGCCTTGAACTGGATAATGACAAGTGAAAATCAGAGAGAGGGAGAAATTTGCCATGCCTAGTGTCGCAATGCGACTTATTATTTACTTATATGGACACTAGGTGTCACTGGTTTAGAAGAGTGTTGTTAGGGGGTGCGTGGTTGGAGACACGGGAGTTTGAGTGTCTAGAAAAGAGTTTTATCGTTACTGCAGATATTTTGATATTTGTTGATCGTAAGAATAAACGGGCTAACCACCCTACTTTTTGGACACCACATACCTCTATTTTTTGCTTGTCGTGGATACTTACTCAACCAGGGTGGGATCTACAGTACGACACTAGCATCCTTATGTAACAGTCTTTCACCCATGATAGTCCGTCACAGAGTTATCAACACTCTTACACGTGTCTTATGTAATAATGAATCGTGGTCAAGCTCCAAGTTAATCTAACAATACTGGTAAGATATTCACAAACTCGATTTTGTCTGTAATGCGCTTGGCAACGTAAACGGGGGTTAACTCACAAGACGTGGGTCAGCACTATCTGCTCCCACGACCTGAATGCCGAAGTTCGGCGTCCGGCTCCCCCTACGCCGCTCTCTGTTGATCTCAGGCGGCGTGTATCGGATCACGTGGTTGTCAGCGACCTATGCCACACAGAATCAGCATATAACATGCACGGAGAACGACTTTGCGTTGGCATGTTAGCATGAATGACCATTTAATCGATCAATCATTAATCTGTTTCTATTACATTCAAATTACTTTTATCAATTTTTGACAGATTTATGTCAAAGAGGGTTATATAGATTTAAATACGTTAATTTTTGTGATGAGTGACAATCTCATGTGTACATATAACAGAGTATATGGTTGTCTAATATGGCTAAGCTATTTTAAATAACAAGTACCTGCAGTAAAGTTGTGTAAAACTTTTTCCCATTGTTTAGCCACTGTGGAATAACACCAATTTTGCGGCAGATTAATCCACATCGCACGGATCTTAAAAAGAACACAACATAAATGGTACTATAGTAATGAATCCCTACAGAATTTACATTGTATTTCACATGTGTCCAATATAAAATGTTCAATTTTCACGTCAAATTTTAATTCAATATGTGCAATAAATTAACCTCGGTGTCCAATCAGCTCTTTCCCAAGGGCCTTCTTTGAGGGGAGAGTCTACTGAGTACTTTTCCTCCACCATATCTTGCAGAAAAGCCTCATTATCACTGGTCAGGTCTTCCGGTGCACTTGTGTCGAGCTTTTTTGTCCACCATGGAGCAGGTGTGTTTGGAGAATGGGTCATACGGAATTGAACATACGGAAGGGTGCGCTGAAATGTATTTCCATGTGATTTACTGTACCTCGATTCCAACAATCTCTCGTTAGGTAACACATTTTGAATAAATCTACCACAGTTGCCAGGCAAAAGACGTCGCATGGAGGCTGCCATTTTGAGCACGAACCCTAGCGAACCTGGCGGTCCACGAGCACGGATAAACAGTAACAACTTTACGGATTACATACAGTCACAACTTCTATTAACGAAAGCATATTATATATACTTTAGATATATATTATGCAGATCATAATGCATAAATATTTGCAGAGAGAGAAAGAATACGACAGCATGTTTCTTGTTAAACGTCACAATTAGTTTGACCTATGGTTTGACGACCTGGTGACATCATATCCGCTAAGAGGTAGGGGAAATTGCGTCACGGGTCACCAGGATGGCGATTGGCAGCATAGCAAGCGAGTACTGTGGATTTTTTGAACATATATAATAAGTTTTTCAATCGTTATTATGGTGATCTATTGCACTCCGGGCTGCTGTCAACTGATTAACAGTGCTGAAACAGATTATATTTAGACTGAAACCAGTGCGGAGGTATGTATGGTAAAGAATCGATCGTAATGCATTCGTGAGTGATTCGCTCGAGGTCCTGCCCCTGGCTTTTGCACTGTATTTAGGCCGAGACTATACGCACGGCGGCCGTGTGGATAAGATTCATATGGCTTCATACGCACGGCGGCCGTGGTGGCGGACTCAATATGGCTATACGCACGGCGGCCGTGTGGATTAAGATTCAATATGGCTATACGCACGGCGGCGCGTATGGCCGACTCAATATGGCTTAGGAATGAGGAGGGGAGAAGGGAGAAGTGTGGAGAAGGAGGAAGGGGAGAAGGGAGAGGTGGTGGAGGATGAAGGGAATGAAGCTGGTGATGAAGGAGGAAGGGAAGAAGGAAGAAGGTGGTGGAGAAGGAGGAGGGGAGAAGCTGGTGGAGAAGGAGGAGGGGAGAAGGGAGGTGTTGGACAGAAGGAAGGAGGGGGAGATGCTGGTTGAACGGAGGGGAGAAGGGAGATAGGTGGTGGAAAGGAGGCTGGGGACCAAGCTGGTGGAGGAGGAGGGGAAGGGAAATATCTGGTGGAGGCAGGGGAGAAGGGAGAGGTGGTGGAAGAGGGGGAAAAGGGAGAAGGTGGTGGAGGAGGGGGAGGAAGCTTGGTGGAGAAGGAGGAAGGATAGCGAAGGAGGGGGAGAAAGGGAGCTGGTGAGAGGAGGAGGGGGAGAAGCGGGATAAGGAGGGGGAGAAGGGAGCTGGTGGACGGAGGGGGGAGAAGGAGAAAGGTGGTGGAGGAGGAGGAAGGGAGAAGCTGGTGGAGAAGGAGGAGGGGAGAAGAAGAGACAGAGTGGTGGAGAAGGAAGGGGGAGAAGCTGTGGAGAAGAGGAGGGGGAGAAGGAGAGACCGGTGGTGGAGGAGGGGAGAAGCACTGGTGTGAGAAGGAGTACAGGAGATAGTTGAGGGGGAAGAGGAGCTGGGTGGAGGAGGGGGAGAAGGCGCACTGGTGGAGGAGGGGGAGAAGGGAGCTGGTGGAGGAGGGGAAGAGGGAGAAAGCTTGGTGGAGAAGGAGGCGGGAGAGGAGAAGGTAGTGGAAGAAGGGAGGAGGGGAGGGGGGAGCTGGTGGAGAAGGGAGGAGGGGAGAAGGGAGAAGCTGGTGGAGAAGGAGAAGCTACGACCAGCTTCTCCCCTCCTCCCTTCTCCCCATCTAGCTTCTCTTCTCCCCTGCCTCCTCCACCCAGCTCACTTCTCCCCCTCCTCCTCCACCAGGCTCCCTTCTCCCCCTCCTATCCCATTCCTCCTATCTCCACCAGCTTCTCGCCCCTCCTCCTCCACCAGCTTCTCCCATCCTCCTTCTTCCACCTACCTCTCTCTTCTCCTCTTGCCTCCTCTTGCCCAACAGCTTCTCGCCTCCCTCCTCCCAACTCTGCTCTCCTTCTCCCCCTCCTCCACCAGCTCCGCTTCTCCCCTTCCTCTTCTCCACCAGCTTCTCCCCTGCCTCCTTCTCCAGCCACCGTTCTCCCCTTCTCCTTCTCCATCGCACCCGCTTCTCCCCCTCCTCCACACTTCTCCTTTCTCGCCCCTCCTCCACCAGCTCCCTCCTCCCTACTCCTTATCCCCTCCGTCCTTCCCTGCTCCATCAGCTCCCTTCTCCCCCTCTCTTGCTCTCCTTCCTCCTACCACCAGGATTCACCACCTGTTTCCCCTCCACCACCTTCTCCCTTCTCACCACTCCTCCGTTCTCGCACGCAGCTTCTTTCGCTCCTCCTTCTCCCACTTACACTTCTCCCCGCTCCGCCCTCCATCCATTCTCCACAGCTTCTCCTTTCCCCCTCTCCTCCACCAGCTCGCTCCCTCCCCTTTTCCTCCTTCTTCCAGTCCCTCTCCCTGCATGCACTGCTCCCTCATCTCGTACCTTCTCCGCTCCCACCACCTCCCCGCCTCCTTCTCCCCCTGCCTGCCCAGCCCACCTTTTCTCCCTTCCCCCCTCTTCTCCACACAGCTTCTCCCCCTCCTCCACCACCTTCTCCTTCTCCCCCTCCCTCCTTCTCCACCAGCTCTCCCCCTCCTCCACCAGCTTCTCCCTTCACCCCCTCCTCCTCCACGCAGCTCCCTCCTCGCCCTCCTGTCCTCACTCCTTTCGCCCTTCTCACCAGCTTCTCCCCCTCCTCATTCTCCAACACTTCCTCTCCCCATCCCTCCTTTCTCCAACAGCTTCTCCCCTCCTCCTTCTCCACCCCACCTTCTTCCTTTCCCCTTCCTCCTTCTCCACCAGCTTCTCCCTTCTCCTCCACCACCTTCTCCCTTCTCCCCTTCCTCTTCTCCACAGCTTCTGCCCTTCTCCCTTCCTCATTCCTAGCCATATTGACGATCTCGGCCAACTAATTGCATGCCAGGCCGGTGCGTATAGCCATATTGAATCTTATCCACAGCTGGCCAGCCGTGCGTATATGTCAACGGCTCCGACACCTAACACTTTTTTTTCAGTGGCCCGATCGGCCACCAACAAATCATTGATTTTCGAATTTTTGGTGGCTCCGAAAACTGAAATCTGGTGGCCCGAAAAAAAACAAAGAAACAACATATAAATCTTTATTTCAATCTCGTATTGTATATTATTTGATAAGTTGGGCGCGTCTGCATTGCACTTGCACAAGTCTTTTAAACAACCCCACACCCAATGCACACACTGTGAGACAATTGCTGATTGAGGCATAACATTTGAATTATCCATTCCACCGGCATCAAATTTTCACCAGACATCTTGCATACCATTTTTCACATTCACTCATTATTTATCAAACACGCGGCTGGCACGCTGCTACCCTCGATCAGTTTCAGCACGTTCAAAGAAATGATCAAAGTCAGCAGAGCATGCAAATATTGGAAAACAAGTAACTGGTAGGAGAACACAACAACAACATTGGCCTTTTACATGTTAAAATAAATTCAAACATATACATTTAATCTCATGAAAGTGTAAAATGTCTTTGGCAAGGGGCTTTGAAAACCTGTAAAAATTAAAATATTGCAGAATTTATAACAGATAAAGTAGAACCATTAATTATATCAACAAAAGTAGCTGGGTCACGCATCGCATTTAAAAAGAAAAAGGCAGCCATGTCTAAGACTAAGTAATATTTTCGTTGTGGGGTAAAGAGAAAGAGAAAACTGCATACAGATAAACCTTACAAAGCCTAATATTTACACTTCGGATTTAAAATACTGATCCATCTTCATGGAATAGTTCAGTTTATTTCTACGCGAACTGTTCGAACTGCATGGCAGTTTTGGCTTCGCCATCCGAAACAGTGAGCAGGCAGTGCAGCTAGCTAGCAATCAGCGGTGAACCAGACGATGTCTATCTTTGCCCATGTGTGGCCAGCGTCCCCGTACCCGACCGATGTCCCGGACGCATGTGTGTCCCGCTATTTCGTTAGAGCCATTCTTTTAACAGAAATACATCAGAAAAAGGAGAAATTTCATCATTGTTCTTTCTATGACGAATTGGTATCCGTCGAAGCCTCGATGCGCCGTCGGCCGGTTCATGTTTTACATACGCCTCGCACAGAACAGCTGCAAGAGCAGGCCCCGTATTGTCTTAGTACGCATTGTCGGGTTTTCGCTTCGATACAATGTAATCACATGTGGATGCTGGGCGCTTCCAAATATCGCTATCGCCTCGGCGCCGCTGATTCTCTGACCTCTGGCGTGAGACGTGGTGTCGCGGCCCGGCACTGTTCGTTCGTAGCGGAGGCAGCCACGCGTCGGGACATTGTCCTAGGCAGAGCGTGAGCGCGGATACCGAGTCTAGACAGCAATAACGTGCTTGTGGGCCGCGCAGTAGAGATCGATTAAAGCCATGCGCCCGTTCATGCCCCGCGGCTGACATGCCTGAGCGTGCGTGGACCTGTGCGCCCTCGCTCCGCAGAATTGCTCGCTCTCCTTTGCCAATGAGATTTAGCACGTAAGAACACCAATTTTTATCAGCATAGATCAGCTTTCTGAAATTTGTAGTGGCCCGAATCGGGCCAACCGAATTTAACATTTTGGAACTTTTGTGGCCGACATAAAGTTTGGTGGCCCCCGGCCACCGGGCCACGCTATTATCTCTCTTATTGTCACTTCCTGTATTTAACCTCCTACCTAGGTAAGTAGTAGAATCATGACAAGTCAAAGAGCTAATATATACCTAGAGTGTACAACGGGAAAACGGAATAGTGGCTATTTCACGACAACATTATCTCTGACTATTGCCTGGCAATCTAGAATAAATTTTATGGTATCTTGCATTAAGCAGAACTCTTTGCTCTCTAAAACAAGACCAAGCCGCTTGTCAATACATACTCCTAGGTGAGACTTTATTGGCCTCCTAAACCTGCCCCTCGCACAGTGCGCTCACACGGGCCTCGAGCATCCAGCTTGATTGCGCAAGCCTAAACGGCCTCTAAGCATTTTGGCTAATCGTTTTCCGTCGCCGGCTTTGGAGCGCTGGATAATTGATGATCACATGCCCAATTTGTGCTGCTTACTAGTGCGTTGTATAGACTGTAATTAAAAAAACATTGCGGCTTCCATCATGACGGCATTAGCCGTGCTAAGGTAAAGATAATGGGAGATAAGGGCATAGGCGATGCCGGCCCGAAAGTCACCTCTTACCCTGCACCTGCACCCGAAAATCATTCATGAAAATTGAGGCGGGAAAAAACCGAACCTCACGAAGCAACCTAGAGAGGCGTTTAGGTTGCTGGAAGTAAGCTGGGATGCAGGGCCGTGTGAGGCATGTGGGAGGGGAAGGTCTTAGGAGCCCAATATATCAGCACTACGATGTACTCCGCGTATCTGGCAAGTCGGTGGTCTTGTTTTTAGAGAGCAAAAGAATTCTGCTGTAATGCCCATACCCAATAAAAATTGATTCTAGACTCGCAGGCAAAGTGAGAGATACTACATGTCGTGAAATAGGCACCGATTTTTCCTGCCGTAGTTTTTCCGTTTTGTTACACTCTAGGTATGTATTAGGCTTCTTGATACAAGTACAAATGTCAC